GCCAGTGCCAGCTGCCATGTGTCCATTTAAATTGGCAGCGTGTGGCTAATTGATCATTAAAACGGCTACAACGTAGAAAATAAGTTATTTCAAGTAATATAACCATCGTAAATATTAAAAGGATAAAGTTATCTGTACATGCAGTGTATGTTTTGATGTCATGAAGTACAGTTAATTACTTTAGTACTTGAGTAGTTTCCGGATACGGGTTTATTTTCGGACGTAAAATGATGGGCCTGATCGTTACAATATGCAAGGATAAAGTGTAGCTGTCGTAAAAAATGAACATAAATGATATTTTGATGCAACTCTAGTTATGCAGAATTCCGTATGTATCAAACTCTGGTGCCTTGCAAAATGAATTATAATAAATAAAAATAAACTTATACAGGGAAATACATACAGATATACAGTACGATTTAGATTGCAAAGATCAGAAAATACCACAGAACTTGCAGCCCTTTGATTCTTTATAAATATACATGCTTATAGTAAGCTCCAGGATTATTTACATCTGTGTTAAACAACAGTTAAAGTCGTTACAAGCCCTAATTTAGAATAATATGGTTTTCTTCAGGCCGTTCACCGTGGCCGAAGGGTTTTCGCGCTCGCTTAGGAAGCGAGAGGTCTGGAGTTCAAATCCCAGTAAAGGTAACTCATTTTTTTTAAATTGTTTAAGTCAAATAAACATTGGATTCAATATCAGTGTTGCAATTAGTCTTATAGCCAATTTACTACAGTTAAAACGCTGGAAAGCATTGGTGGCACTATACATATAATCTCACAACATGTACCTTTCTTACATTCTAAGACCCAAACAAATTCAGCGCCTTCTGTGCTTTGATTATTTAATCAACTGATTATGCTATTATTCGCTACATCGTAAATAGTCTGCTGAACTTTTGGCTATTATTTTTTTTAAGTCAAAAATATTGGCTATTATTTTATTTGAGCCAGTGTGAGCCCTGTGATGGTACTGATCACTCCTGTAAAGTTTGGTTGAAATCCAACCAGTAGTTTGACCTGTGAAGGGTGGACAAGATTTTTCTATTTTTAGCTCTGGCGGCTTTTCTGCAGCAAAGCTGAACGGGTGGGTGATGTGCACAATTAGGGATGGTACTGATCACTCCTGTAAAGTTTGGTTGAAATCCCACCAGTAGTTGAACCCTGTGAAGGGCGGACAATATTTTTCTATTTTTAGCTCTGGCAGCAATTTTTGGCAGGCGAAAGTAAATTGTGACATATGTCCCAACTAGGGATGGTAATGATACTCCCTGTAAGTTTTGGGTTGAATCCAACCAGTAGTTTGGCATGTGGGAAGGGGCGGAACAGATTTTTCTATTTTTAGCCTGGCAACTTTTGTGGCAGCGAGCGAAACGGTGCGGGGTGAATGTGCACAAATAGGGATGGGTACTTGATACTCTGTAAAGTTTGGTTGAAAAACCCACCAGTATTTGACCTGTGAAGGGGGACAGATTTTTCTTAGTTTTGCTCTGGCAGCCATTTTGTGTAGCGCAGGAACGTGGGGTCATGTGCACATGGGATGGTGACTAAACTTCTGTAAAGTTTGGGTTTGAAATGCACAAGAAGCTGACTGTGAAGGGTGACAAAGATTTTTCTATTTTTTTAGCTTTTGGTCCCTTTTGGGGGGCAAACGAGCAGAAATTTGGGGGGAAAGTGGGAATTAGGGGTTGGGACTGATTTACTCCCGTTAAAATTTGGGGGAAATCCCAAACCCGTAAATTTTACAGTGAAGGGGTTAAAAAAATTTTTTTTATTTACTCTGGTGGCCATTTTTTCAGCAAAAATGGGAAGGGGTGCGGGATGTCCAAATAAAGGGAAGGTACGATCACTTCCCGAAAATTTTGGGGAAAACCCACCCGTATTTTACCCTTTAAGGGGGAGCCCAAGGGTTTTCTATTTTTGGGGTCTGGCCCGCATTTTTGCAGGCCCGAACGTCGGGTCAGGTTGGGACAACTTGGGGTGGTCTGTCAATCCCGTAAATTTTGGGTTTAAATCCACCAGAAGCGACCGTGGGGGGCTTTACAAATTTTTTATTTTTTGCTTGGGGGCCCTTTTTTTGCAGGAAACGGAAATTTGGGTGAGGGGAAAAGGGAATAATGATTTCCCGTAAAGTTTGGGGAAAATCCAACCCGTAGTTAAAATTAAAAGGGTTTAAAATAAATTTTTTTTTTAGCCTCTTGGCCCTTTTTTGGGAGCAAAGGGGAAGGGGCGGGGAAGTACAACTAGGGATGAACTGAAAACTCCTGTAAATTTTGGGTTTAAAAACCCCCCTATTTACCTTAAGGGGGGGCCCAAATTTTTTAAATTTTTTTTTTGGCCCTTTTTTGCAGCGGGGCGAACGTGGGATGAGTCCAACTAGGGATGGTAAATGATAACCCTTTTTTAAAAATTGGTTTAAATCCAAACCCGAGTTTTACATTAAGGGTTAAATAAATTTTCTAAATTTTTGCTCGGGGGCATTTTGGGGCACAAAACGGAAGGTCGGGGAGGGGCACAACTAGGGATTTTACTGATTAAACCCTTTAAATTTTTTAAAACCCAAACCCAATAGTTTTACATGTAAGGGTTAAAATAGTTTTTTATTTTTGTCTGGGGCCCTTTTGGGGCAGAAAACGGAAGGTCGGGGGGTGCAAACAGGGATTTTAACTGATAACTCCTTTTAAAATTTTGGGTTTAAATCCCATAATTTTTACAATTAAAGGTTTTAAAAAAGTTTTTATTTTTTGTCTGGTTTGGGCCCTTTTGTGCAGCAAAAAGGGGGTCGGGGGGATGTGCCCCAAAATGGAATGGTACTTTCCAAATCCTTAAAATTTGGTTTAAAACACTAGTATATTTACCGTGAAGGGGGGACAAGATTTTTAATTTTTTTCCCTTGGGGCTTTTTTGCAGCAAATGAAAAGGTTATGTTCCCAAAAAAACTTGGGTTTTTTATATTTACTCCGTTTAAAATTTTTTTAAAACCCCCCATAGTTTAAATGTGAAGGGCGGGCAAATTTTTTATTTTCAAACTCTGGCAGCCCAATTCTTGCAGCGAAACGTAAGTGACAATAGTGCTGCACAACTAGGGATGGTACTGATCACTCCTGTAAAGTTTGGTTAAATCCCATAGTTTTTGACCTGTGAAGGGCGGACAACTTAATGCGGACAAACAAACGGACGACGACGGACGACAGGACGGGGCGAAGGCAAAAATAATATGCCTTCCAAAAATTTTGGGAGACATAATTATAAAATCAGACAAAGGGCCCATAAATGGCCCTGAGGTCGCTCACCTGTACAAAGGCACCCGGAGCGGGGCCCAGTTTAAACCCCGACGGCTTTTTATTTTGAACAAACGTGGAAGACACTCATTAGAAGATGTTTCACAATGTTAAGTTTTTACTACACACATATATAATGAAAAAACAACGATCTACCCGCCCTCCTTCCTCCACCACCCCCCCCCCCTGCAGGGCCAATTTTAACCCAAGGGCTTTTATTTAAACAACTTGGTAGACACCCATAAGAAGATGTTTCATGCTAAACATCTAAGCTCTAGCTCATTGGGTTTCTTTAAAAGAAGATTTTTTAAGTTTTACTATACACATATGACACCCAGGGCGGGGCCAATTTTGACTCCAGGGCTTTTATTTTAACAACCTTTGTAGACACCCACTAGAAGATGTTTCATGCTTAATATCTAAACTCCAGCTATTTGGGTTTTTTCAAAGAAGATTTTTAAGTTTTTGCTATATACATATATAAGGAAAATCAATGACGCCCGGGGCGGGGCCAATTTTGACCCCAGGGCTTTTATTTGAACAAACTTGGTAGACACCAATTAGAACATGTTTCCTGCTAAATATCTTAGCTCTAGCTCTTTGAGTTCTTTAAAAGAAGATTTTTAAGTTTTTACTATTTGCATATAGGGAAAATCAATGACTCCATGGGGCGGGGCCAATTTTGACCCCAGGACTTTTATTTGAACAAACTTTGTAGACACTTATTAGAAGATGTTTCATGCTAAATATCTTAGCTCTAGCTCTTTGGGTTCTTTAAAAGAAGATTTTTAAGTTTTTACTATATGCATTTAGGGAAAATCAAAGACCCCCTGGGGCGGGGCCAATTTTGACCCAAGGGCTTTTATTTGAACAAACTTGGTAGACACTCACTAGAAGATGTTTCATGCTTAATATCAAAACTCTAGCTATTTGGGTTTTTTCAAAGAAGATTTTTTAAGTTTTTGCTACACACATAGAAGGAAAATCAATGACCCCCGGGGCGGGGCCAATTTTGACCCCAGGGCTTTTATTTGAACAAACTTGGTAGACACCCATAAGAACATGTTTCTTGCTTAAGATCTTAGCTCAAGCTCTTTGAGTTCTTTAAAAGAAGATTTTTTAAGTTTTTACTATATGCATATAGGGAAAATCAATGACCCCCTGGGGCAGGGCCAATTTTGACCCCAGGGCTTTTATTTGAACAAACTTCGTAGACACTTATTAGAAGATGTTTCATGCTGAATATCTTAGCTCTAGCTCTTTGGGTTCTTTAAAAGAAGATATTTTAAGTTTTTACTATATGCATATAGGGAAAATCAAAGACCCCCTGGGGCGGGGCCAATTTTGACCCCAGGGCTTTTATTTGAACAAACTTGGTAGACACTCATTACAAGATGTTTCATGCCAAATATCTAAGCTTTAGCTCTTAAGATTTTTTAAAAGAAGATATTTAAAGTTTTCCTTTCGGTTGCCATGGCAACCAGAGTTCTGCATGGAATTAAATTCTTTGAACAATTTTTAAAGGTGACCACCAAAGGAACATTCCTGTGAAGTTTTGATGAAATTGGCTTAGTGTTTATGAGGAGATGTCATTTAAAGTAAAAGTTTACGGACGGATGGACGGAAGACGGACGAAAAAGGATCACAAAAGCTCACCCTGTCACTTTGTGACAGGTGAGCTAAAAAATAGAGAACAAAAAAAAACACACAAACAACCTTGTATGTATCCAAAGGCTTTTTTGCATTTTTCTTGTCCATTTCTTGGCTATACAGTTTCATCATTTCACTTCCAGCAATACCTTTCAAATAAGTAACAAACAGATACTTGATTGAAACAAGCTTGCATTTGAGAAAAATGCTATGCCACCGCATTAATACAACACTAAATAGTAGTTTAGAAACAGATTTTTTTTGTTTCTATACAATTGAAGATTGTAATAATGCATAGATCCCTGACCTATCTAATTCTTATTATCAGATTAGTGGTTAAATCTATTGTTAATCCAATAAAAGATCAGAGTAGGAATATATCAATGCACTTGAGTCTGGTGAATTTGGTGGTGAAGGTCATATTTCACACAGCCTAAATTTCATGACTACATCAAAGGACAACCCAGTAAGACACTTTGTCAAAATCTAGGTCAGCTGATATCAAAGTTCACTTTACATCTAAATCTGTGCACATGGTTCAAATTTCATAGCTGTACATCAAAGGACAAGAAAGTAGGTCGCATCATCAAATTCTAAGTCACCTGATATCAAAGTTCAATTTTACAACTAAAACTGTGCACATGGTCAAAATTTCATTGCTGTACATCAAAGGACAAGAAAGTAGGTCACTGTCCCCTTGGGCAAGGCAAATATTTTGACCCAAGGGTTTAATTCAAAACAATCTTGATACAGGTCCACCAAACAACATTTCAAGTCAAATATCTAAGCTGTAGCTTTCTCCTATTCAGAAAACATTTGTTTTATTTTCTGTTTTTTACTATGTGTACATAATGAGAAACACTACCCCCGGGCAGGGCCAATTTTGACACCAGGGGAAAACTTTTAACAACTTTGGTAGAGGACCTATAGATGATATTATATAGCAAACATCAAAGCTCTATGCCTTGTACATTCACACAAAAATATTTTTTTTATTTTTTTACTATATGTACATAATGAAAATCAATGACCCCTGGGGCGGAACAAATTTTGACCCCAGGGCTATAATTTGAACAATCTTGGTAGAGGTTCACTTCGCAAAGTCTCATGCCATATATTTAACCTCTAGCCTTTGTCAATTCAGAGAAGAAGTTTTTACTATATAAATATAAGGAAATCTATCGCCTTTGGGGCAGGGCGCCTTTGGGGCAGGGCAATTTTAACACTAGGGGCATAATTAAAACAACTTTAGTAGAGGACCCATAGATGATATTATATACCAAATATCAAATCTCTAAGCGTTGAACCTTCAGACAAGAAGATTTTTTTTTTTTTACTATATGTTCATAGTGAAAATCAATGACCCCTGGGGGTGGGGCCAATTTTGACCCCAGGACTATAATTTGTACAATCTTGCTAGAGGTTCACTACCCAATGTTTCATGCAAAATATCTTAACTCTAGGCTTTGTAAATTTAGAGATGATTTTTTAAGTTTTTACTATATATATATAAGGAAACCCTATGGCCCCCGGGGCGGGGCTAATTTTGACACTAGAGGCAAAATTTGAACAACTTTGGTAGAGTACCTATAGATGATATCATTTAACAAATATTAAAGCTCTAAGCTTTGTACCTTCAGACAATAAGATTTTTTTATTTTTTTACTATATGCATATATTGAAAATGAATGACCCCTGGGTGGGGGCAATTTTGACCCCAGGGCAAAATTTGAACAATCTTGCTAGAGGTTCACTACACAATAAGTTTTTACTATATACATATAAGGAAAACCAATAACTCCCGGGGCGGGGCCGATTTTGACCCCAGGGCTATAATTTGAACAATCTGGGTAGAGGTCTACCAGACAATGCTTTACACAAAATATCTAAGCTCTAGGCCTTTTGGGTCTTTACAAGAAGGTATTTTAATTTTTTACTATATGTACATATAGTGAAAATCAAAGACCCCCCCGGGCGGGGCCGATTTTGACCCCAGGGCTATAATTTGAAAAATCTTGGTAGAGGTCTACCAGACAATGCCTTATGCAGAATATCTAAGCTCTAGGCCTTTTGGGTCTTTACAAGAAGATTTTTTAAATTTATTCTTATAATTCCTTTTGGTTGCCATGGCAACCAGATTTCTGCATGAAATGAAATTCTTTGAACAACTTTGGAAGCCCTTCACCGAAGGATCAATCCTGCCAAGTTTGGTTGAAATTGGACTAGCGGTTTTTCACAAGAAGATTTTTTAAATTCACTATATAATCTATAGAACACACACACACAAACACACAGGTGAATCGCTATATGCCACCGCATCGCAGATGCTGCGGTGGCATAAAAAAAACAAACAAAAAAAAAAATAGAACAAATTCTGCAAGCTTTATACAGGATGAGCCTCATGTATACAGCAGCTCAAATAATCTTAGATAAAGATCTCTAAGAAGAAATCAGCCAGGGGTCAACCCACTTAAAGCAGTGGCCTAATGGTTAAGGTGTCTTTCAACCTGGGAGTTGTGGGTTTGAACTTTATTGGAGGCACAATCATGTTTCCACATATGACAACAATACTGTTTTGTTCAAGGAAGCGCAAATGAAAGTGGTTCATTATAAGTTTATTTGTCATCACACTTAAGCTTAAATCAATATAATCATGGTTTAACTATAATATTTTAATATACAGGGCTATTACTCTATAAAAGAATAAAGTTTTTTCTTTTTTTTTTCCCAGCTTCTTACCTAATGCACTTGAGCCTGTCAATGCTTGGAATAAATTACAACCAGAAACTTCACTACCAGAAACTGAAACTTCACTACCAGAAACTTCACTACCAGAAACTACCTTGTTGGGAAGATTCACATAAAATGTTCCATCTATAAACATGATAGGACTGAAAAATAAAATGGGATACCACTCCAATAAGAAACATGTCATCTTTGTAACAAACTGTTTTTACACATACATCATGGTTATTTTTTTTACTCTTTTGAAATTACAATAGTGATGACCTAACAAATCTTGGATTTGAAATCAAGCTATAAAGTTCATATATGCAATCTGAAACAATAGCCACTAGTGACTAGTGTTAACAAGATTTTCCTTTTTTGGGCTCCTAAGTAACTTTTTATCCCATGTTTGAACTTGTGCCACTTAAACTTAAGACAAACATCCTGACCAAATTATGTGACATGTGAGGCAAAATTGTGACCTCTAGAATGATAACAAACTTAATGTGGATAGACAACAGACAGTCAACGATCCTAAATCCTCACCCTGGGCCAGCTCAGGTGGGCTAGAAAAACAAAACAAACAAAAAACTAATGCAAATCAATATTTCATACATGTAGTATTACATCATGGCCCGTATTCAATATACATCTTAAGATTTTTCTTATCCTTACGCGATATTTTCCTTAACTAAAGATAAGATATTTCTTATCCTTAAACAGTACTTAAAAAGCTACTTAAGTAATATCTTAGCTAAAATTTTTCTTAAGGTTAAGAATTTTCTTATTTCGTTTGAGAAAATTCTTAAGTACGTTGCCAGGCTATTCTGGTTTTTCCATCGCTTAAAATAGTAACGGAAATGAGAATTATGCGCGCGCAGCGTCTCATTCAACATGGCGGAGGCAGCAGACGTAAAGAAACGCCGAAACGCCAATTTTTCGGCGAATGACTGCGTTTTATTGGCCAATATCATGGGGCAGTCATCCAGTTTGAACGAAAATTTGACGAACTACCAGTACATTCGTCACAAGTTTAACAGTAGTAAGTATTTTGCCAATATTACCATGAAATGTCACATTTGACAGATGGCGGGAGTTGAAGGGAGATAACTTGAATTGTTTACATAAGTTATGACCATTACCAGTTGTACTAAGAGAATAAAAAACGCGTCCCTTAACTTCTGTTTAAAACTGATTCCAAAAAAATCATTTCTGTAAGTATGAAATTACCCGTAAGTTATTATATAATTAAGTGGCTTGATAATGTTGACCCGGATAAATCTTTTGTGTTCAATGATAACTGTATACCCAACTGTACACGCGGACATACATGTACATCCAGCTATTTAAACCAAGTGTGAATAAAACACCTAAGAGAAATATATTTCCTATTAGATGCATTGACCAGTGGAATAATTTAGATGAAAACATTGCTCTCAATGAAAGTGTTTTGACCTCAACCGGAGCTGGCTAAGTAAAAGATTTAATACAAGTGACTTTTACTGAAGTTATCTTTGATAATACTGTATAGCAGGAACATACAAGCCATCTTGGCTTAAATGCTCAGAAGAAGGACAGGTAAAGGTATATACAGCTGTAGTAAGGCTAGTCCATGCATACTTGAAGTTAAATCGTATTGACTAGCCGTCATTTTTCATTGAAAATTAAAAGAGGTAATTTGACAGGGTCCAACTGTTATCTGAATAACATTTTATACATATTAACATGTTGCATTTCTAATACTAATAATATTTTAATAGTGGTCAGGTTCTATTAGAATCAATGCTTTCATTACATGGAGACCAAACAACAGTCATCAAATTTAGCACTAGCCCATGGCAAGTAAAATTTAGTTAAATATATAGTATAATAAATTCATAACTGGAAGCAATCACAAATTTACAAGAGGAGTAAATTCTCAGGGATCAGTAGATTTATATCAGTGTATATATGTGATATCACCAATATTCAAGGAGAGCAAAAAAGTACATGTATATTTAAAATTTCAATCATGTAAGCATTAATCATGTATATTTAACCATATTATAGATTACCATATAGTTCCATCACTGCATCCCTAAACAAGAGGGCCATGATGGCCCTGAGGTTGCTCACCTGTATAAAGGCACCCAGAGCGGGGCCAGTTTAAACCCCAGGGCTTTTATTTGAAAAAACTTGGAAGACACCCATTAAAAGATGTTTCACAATGTTAAGTTTTTACTACACACATATAATGAAAAACAATGATCTACTCCCCCCCCCCCGTCAGGGCCAATTTTAATCCAAGGGCTTCTATTTGAACAAACTTGGTAGACACCAATAAGAAGATGTTTCATGCTAAACATCTAAGCTCTAGCTCATTGGGTTTTTTTAAAAGAAGATTTTTAAGTTTTTACAATACACATATAGTTAAAAACAATGACACCCCTGGGGCGGGGCCAGTTTTGACCCCAGGGCTTTTATTTGAACAAACTTTGTAGACACTTACTAGAAGATGTTTCATGCTTAATATCTAAACTCTAGCTATTTGGGTTTTTTAAAGAAGATTTTTAAGTTTTTGCTTTACACATTAAAGGAAAATCAAAGACACCCGGAGCGGGGCCAGTTTTGACCCCAGGGCTTTTATTTGAACAAACTTTGTAGACACTCACTAGAAGATGTTTCATGCTTAATATCTAAACTCTAGCTATTTGGGTTTTTTCAAAGAAGATTTTTAAGTTTTTGCTATACACATATAAGGAAAATCAATGACACCCGGAGCGGGGCCAGTTTTGACCCCAGGGCTTTTATTTGAACAAACATTGTAGACACTCACTAGAAGATGTTTCATGCTAATATCTAAACTTCAGCTATTTAGGTTTTTTTAAAAAAGATTTTTTAAGTTTTTGCTATACACATATAAGGAAAATCAATGACCCCGGAACGGGGCCAATTTTGACCCCAGGGCTTTTATTTGAACAAACTTTATAAACACTCACTAGAAGATGTTTCATGCTTAATATCTAAACTCCAGCTATTTGGGTTTTTTCAAAGAAGATTTTTTAAGTTTTTGCTATATACATATAAGGAAAATATATGACCCCCGGGGCAGGGCCAATTTTGACACCAGGGCTTTTACTTAAACAAACTTGGTAGACACCCATTACAACATGTTTTATGCTAAATATCTTAGCTCTGGCTCTTTGAGTTCTTTAAAAGAAGATTTTTTAAATTTTTACTGTATGCATATAGGGAAAATCAATGACCCCTGGGGCGGGGCCAATTTTGACCCTAGGGCTTTTATTTGAACAAACTTGGTAGACACCCATTAGAACATGTTTTATGCTAAATATCTTAGCTCTGGCTATATGGGTTTTTTCAAAGAAGATTTTTAAGTTTTTGCTATACACATATAAGGAAAATCAATGACACCCGTGGCGGGGCCAATTTTGACCCCAGGGCTTTTATTTGAACAAACTTTGTAGACACTCACTAGAAGATGTTTCATGCTCAATATCTAAACTCCAGCTATTTGGGTTTTTTCAAAAAAGATTTTTTAAATTTTTGCTATACAAATATAAGGAAAATCAATGACCCCCGGGGCGGGGCCAATTTTAACCCCAGGGCTTTTATTTGAACAAACTTGGTAGACACCCATTAGAACATGTTCCATGCTAAATATCTTAGCTCTAGCTCTTTGAGTTCTTTAACCCTTTCACTGCCATAGGGACGACTTAAGCCGTCCCTGTTACTTTCGGCGTATTTGCCATATGGACAGCTTTAGCCGTTTCTATAATAATAATAGTAATAATAATAAATTAATAATAATAATAATAAAAATAATGATAAATATAAAGAAAATTATACCATCGACAATAATTATTATTATACTAACAGATTTTGAAACATATATAATTATTATAATACTAATAACAAATAATAATAATTATATTAATTAATAATATAGTAATTTCTTAGAAAACCCTCTGGCAAATAGGTGAACAATAAAACAATAACCCTCTGGCAGCGAAAGGGTTAAAAGAAGATTTTTAAGTTTTTACTATATGCATATAGGGAAAATCAATGACCCCCTGTGGCGGGGCCAATTTTTACCCCAGGGCTTTTATTTGAACAAACTTTGTAGACACTTACTAGAAGATGTTTCATGCTTAATATATAAACTCTAGCTATATGGGTTTTTTCAAAGAAGATTTTTAAGTTTTTGCTATACACATATAAGGAAAATCAATGACACCCCTGGCGGGGCCAATTTTGACCCAAGGGCTTTTATTTGAACAAACTTTGTAGACACTCACTAGAAGATGTTTCATGCACAATATCTAAACTCCAGCTATTTGTGTTTTTTCAAAAAAGATTTTTAAAATTTTTGCTATACAAATATAAGGAAAATCAATGACCCCCGGGGCGGGGCCAATATTGACCCCAGGGCTTTTATTTGAACAAACTTGGTAGACACCCATTAGAACATGTTCCTTGCTAAATATCTTAGCTCTAGCTCTTTCAGTTCTTTAAAAGAAGATTTTTAAGTTTTCACTATATGCATATACGGAAAATCAATGACCCCCTGGGGCAGGGCCAATTCTGACCCTAGGGCTTTTATTTGAACAAACTTGGTAGACACCCATTACAACATGTTTTATGCTAAATATCTTAGCTCTGGCTCTTTGAGTTCTTTAAAAGAAGATTTTTTAAGTTTTTACTGTATGCATATAGGGAAAATCAATGACCCCTGGGGCGGAGCCAATTTTGACCCTAGGGCTTTTATTTGAACAAACTTGGTAGACACCCATTACAACATGTTTTATGCTAAATATCTTAGCTCTGGCTATATGGGTTTTTTCAAATAAGATTTTTTTAGTTTTTGCTATACACATGTAAGGAAAATCAATGACACCCGTGGCGGGGCCAATTTTGACCCCAGGGCTTTTATTTGAACAAACTTTGTAGACACTCACTAGAAGATGTTTCATGCACAATATCTAAACACCAGCAATTTGGGTTTTTTCAAAGAAGATTTTTTAAATTTTTGCTATACAAATATAAGGAAAATCAATGACCCCCGGGGCGGGGCCAATTTTGACCCCAGGGCTTTTATTTGAACAAACTTGGTAGACAAACATTAGAACATGTTCCATGCTAAATATCTTAGCTCTAGCTCTTTGAG